AGTGGTTAAACCAACTTTCCATTTAGAATTACATTCTGTGTTTACATTATCGTTCCACCTAAAGAGCTTTAACTCATACTGTTTCGATAAATGTTCATTTATTACAGTTTCATGGAAGACATGAGAAGTTTTAATTTCAAAACTACCTTTGACTGTAGAAGACGTCATTGTAGAACTTGCTTTTTTCTTGCTTTGATGCTGAATTGTAAATTCGAAGTTGTAGCTGAAGGCTTCGTTTGAAGTCTTTCGAAGTGACGATTCTTGAAGATGTCTGCGTCGATAGATCTTACGATCGAGTGTCGTTTCAAATCTAAAGCGCTTCTTTTATAGATAAATCAATAACCAATCAGATTTAAGATATTGTTAAAAGGACAAAGAAGTGATTGATGTTTCTTAAGTTTGATTGACATTTGCAAATTGATATTTTCAAACTTCAAATTTAAAAATATTTGAAGTTTTAAAAAACTTCAAGTTTTTTTTGGAAACTTCAATTTTTATTTAAAATTAATTTAAAGGAAAAATTGAAGTTTTTTAAAACTTCGGAGATTCGGAGATCTGACTGAGTAACGACAGATTGATCAGCCATGGCTGAGCACGATAACTTCCAAAAGTTCGTGGACATGCGGGATGGATTGGAGGCGATGTTTCGTGAAACCTACTCAGAGGAAGCAGATGTGGAAGATGTGCAAATGTTTATGCAAGCATGGAAGAAAAGATTGGAGGGTATGTTTGACCCGAAGCCTGAATCTTTTATGTCTAATGATGAAAAAACTTTATTTCGTTATTCACAGTTATGTTTAGAAATGGCGATTGTGAAAAACAGACCGATAGTTGAAGAGGTTCCAGACATTTACGAATCGTATACTATGGAATATTTTAAACGTCGGTTTTTTCCAGTAATGGAAAAAATTGCAATTAGTGAATATAGTAACTTTACGTATAATTCGATGGGTTGGCGTAGCCGATATTATCATCTTTTATTATCGATGGTTAAAGAAAGTTCGGAACTAAATTTAGACGATGAATATATTGACGAACGTTTAAATATTGAAAGAGTTCTGGAGGTGATAACACATAGTAGTTTTCTGTTAAAGCTACAATTACAGAAATATTTAAGAGAAATTGAAGTTATGTGTTTGACCTCGTTACCAAGCGAAAAATTGAGTTTGGGGGAAGAAGTTTTAGATATTGATGGTTCAGATGATGAAAAACGACGGCATATTCTCCTTGAATCGTTATACGATATACCGTTATTGGATAATTCTTCGAAAGAGTCTGAAAAAAAAATAATCTGCATTGCGAATAAAGATTATTTGTATGAGAATGGATTCTTTCCAACTACACGAAGCGTTACAGATAGCGAACTTTCAAAAGACATACCAAATTTTTTGTCAGTAGAAACTTGTACACAGTATTTTGGGCGAATACAAGAAGTTTACGGGAGAAAGTTAATGATGAAATAGATAGCTTTTTGGAAGCTAGAAAAAGTCTATTGGAGGAAAATTCGAATGAAAATATATTGTTGAAGGACAAAATTTTTTTTAACATCTATCGTGCAAGCAATTTGTCGAAGTCTGACGCTATAGAGATTATCGAAAAAGAATTTTATACACTCGCCACAAGGAATCGTGATTTGAATGCGGATGAGCTTTTGGGGGAGTTATTTGATTATTGTAAAACGAATAATCTCTTTGAAGAACGTGAACTTATGAAGAGACAGTATGATATAAATATAAAAAAGATGTTTTATAAAAAAGACATACAAAGTGCTGCAACATATTCAATGTTCATACCAAGTTGGTGAAGGGGGGCCATAAAATATCACTATTGCTAGCAAGGCAACTTGCTGAGCATAATATTGAGTCAGTGCCTGGTTGGAAGTTGTGTAGAAAGTGTTTTGACAGAGCCACAGCAACACTGAAAGAAACTGGCCTTACGATAGAAGTTGATTCAAAGTCATTCGAGGATAAGGACATTGGTGAACTGGATAGCTCCTTTACTCAAGAACAAAATAGGGACGCTCTCAATGATAGTCTTATGGCTATAGGTGCATCACCAGTAAAAACCCATGGCATGCCAAAACATAGACGCATATCATAAGTAGTGTATACTAGGGTTCCACCTGTTGCATATTAAACCTAGCGCTCCTGCGTAGGGTCTTGTATAAGACCACGTGGTAGGCTGCTCCGCAGAGGCAAAATTGTAAAGACTGTTTTAAAAAAAAAATAACTTGAACTAAAATCACAAAAAGTTATATAAAACTGATTTTCTTTTTCGTTTTGACTGTTTCAAGAGAGCTGAGAGTGTCAAGATGTCTAGTTTCATATCGCAAGTGATTTTGTTGTTCTGTTTCTTTTCCTACATCTATTGCTTTGAAGATGGGATAAAAATTAAGAGTTTTGATGTTGAGGTAGGATCTGCTGCAGATTCCAACGAATTGGCTATCGCTATGAGAAAAATGCTGGCTTATGATAGATTCCTTCACATAGAATTTCAAACATCAAATTTTTGTCTCGGGAAGAAAGTGATTATTTCTGTTTTTACAGATGATGAGAAAATATTCAAGAAAAATAATTGCTGCGAAAGACCTGAGGTTTCATGGGTTAGGGAAGCAGTTGGTGATACATTGTTTACCAAAGTTTTGAACATTCATTTCCATAGTTATAGTGATGAGAAACATATGCAGTTTTTTAAACACGAAGTAAAAACTCATGTCGATTTCTAAATCATTATATTATATACATAAAATAATTTGTTTTTCTACATCTTTTCTACATTCAACACGTAATATAAAAAAAATGACATGACGACTAGCGTTCATGCCAATTTAATTAATTATACTAAACTTACATATATAAAAAAGATATAAAATATAAGATATGACGACTAGCGTTCATACCAATTATGAAATAACTGCCAAGATTGATGAAGATATGACACCATTCTATGTAAACTTTAAAGAAGAATCAGATACGCGTACAGAGAAAAACTTAAAGCAGATTGTTGTTAATCTTGTGATGCCCACGTTTACGAACGGTGCGAAGACATGACAACAATTAATTGTTATTAGATAGGATAAGATTGGAAAGTGAATCACCATCTGAGACGAGTGATCATTCCAACAGTTAGTTTGTGTAAGTTAGAAAAAGAAAGCAAGTGACTATGTTGACTTTGCAATTCTGGAAGAGTTAAGAAATATATCACAGTCAACAGCATCAAAAAAGATTAAGATGAGGTTAAAGTTTAAAAAAAAAAAGAGAAAGAAATATAAGTTGATATTAGTGTCAATTAATTATAGATAGGGCAAGAAAAACTTAGAAAAAGACAAACTTAAAGCAGATTGTCGTTAATCAATAGAGTAATAATATATAAAAAAAGATCAATGAGGACTAGCGCTCATTTCGTTAAAAAAGTAATATTATATACAAAAAAAAAGAAGTTAATGATCATCCCCATACAGTTGTACCCAAAAAAGGGTTTGAAAAAACTAAACCTAACTTTTCATCAAAATACGAGATATGGGGAATACCATATAATAGTACATGATGTGGGTTAAAGAGGGAGCCGTATTTTTGATGCATAGGTTCTACAAATTGTTTGTAGTATTGTATATATTCGTCCATCTCTCTATAAAGGACTAAATCTTCAAATTCGTCAAGTTCATCATCATCATCATCATCATAATTGTTAAATTCGTCATATATGCCGAGATCATCGAGATCATAATCACCATTATACCCCTCATCACTTAATTCTTCATCAATTAATTCTTCATCGTCGGTGTCTTCATTTCTAAATTTCTGTTCTTTTTTTTGCAAGTACACCTCTCTCCATCTTGCCCAAGGAACGGGTGGGTAGGTAGTTCCTTAATAAAAAGATAATATATATTTTATGTTGATTGATTTAAAATCCAATCTAGATCAATCCCATACGAATCAGCAACAAGAAAATATAACATTTCTTTTGAAATAACTACTTTTTTATTATTAACTTAAGCTAAAAAATAGTTGCTTCTAATATCTCTAGGAGTTCTTTGAAGTCCTGTTGACGATTCAATATGCATATGTGAGAACGGTTGCTGAGAGTTTCTGTAGCAATGTATTTCTATTATATTTTCTGGTTGCTCATCCGGGTCATATACTAAAATGAAGTTATTGAAACAAATTACATATAGAAAAAGAGATAAAGAGAGCTATTAATTAATTAAATCATGAGGATCGTTATGAACATCATGATACTTATAGTAAATTTCCTCTGCAGTAGTACGATAATCATCACCCAAAAAATGAAGATTTAAACTATGCTGTAAATTATCTACCATAGTGTTAATTAAACTCGAATCTATAATCGAAGGTAAACCATCAGGACGTCTACCGTAATAGTACGAGTTTCTAATTACACTCTTTTCTTTAACTAAATCTTCATAAATTACGTTATTTCTATCGATCTTCAATTCCAAACACCTCGCTGTAGTCTTATATTTAAGATCTATTTTCGTTTCTTTACTGTTTCTTAATAACAATTTGCAATATAAAGCTACAGGTAATTCGTATTTAATTTTCTGTTCCATATCAGTAACCGTTATATCGACAGCGTGTCCCAAATTTGCTAAACATTGACTCTGCTTAATGCACTTTTCTAAGTCTTCTTCTGTTTTTACGCTAACTTTTTGAAAGCCTGTGCAGTTTATCGAATGTGGATGAATTTCTTCTATTTTGCTGTTCGTTCTTGTAAAATATCGATGGTCTTCAATCATGGTGACATTGGTATCTGTCAAATATTGTGAAATTCAGAATAAACAAAAATGAAGCTTTAAATTGATATAATTAAATTCCTTCCTTCCTTTTTTTGACTTCAGAAATACTTCAGAATCATAAACTTAGTATTGGTTTGGTTTATTTTTTTACAACTTAACTCTTCTGTTATGTCTTGTAAAGGATATCTTTTTCTCTTTCTTCGAGACAATCTTTCCTTTTTTTTATGAAAGTGATAACGATATAGATTTGAGTTTATTGTATTCATATAATCATCCATTTTGATTCGATCTAAATGTTAAAAAAAATCATACGAACAAACTAATTTGTAGTTTAATATAAATGTTAACTACTACTAATTAATAATACTAAACAGTTAAGTGTTTATAGTTGTTATTCTTCTTCATCAGAGTTTCTTTCAACCGCCAGTTTTTTTGAGATTTTTTTTAGAAGTGATTTTCTCTTTTTTTCTATTTCTTCACAATCTTCATCATCGGCTTCATTGTCGCTGATAAGTTCTTTATATTTTCTTTTAATTTTTTTAGGTGCTTTTAATGGTTTACTTTCGGTGAAAGGTTGTGATGGTGGTGTGGTAAATATCTCATGAACGGAGTGATCGCTATCATTCTCGTCATCTGCATTTTTTTCTACCTTTTTTGCAATTTTTGTCTTTGTTTTCTTAAGTAAATAATTGCTCAATTTTGGCAACTCCTCCTCCATTATTGGTCTGTTTTGAAATTGTTCATCAGATATTTTTTGCATGTATGATTGCAAAGCTTCGTTTGGTCCGCCTGGTAATTCTTTCAAAATGGCTGCTTGGTTATTACAGCTTAGAGACAGAGGCAAATGCTCGGATATTATGTTATCATCTTGTTCGAGATAGGATAATAAATCTTTAAAAGCTATCGGATTTAAACATACAATTTTAACAAAATTTTGTTCAGCCTGATCGCTAACTCTACGAAAGGTGGCTGACAAATTCACAAGAGATAATAAATATCTCAATCTTAACTCTTCCTCTTTCTTCTTGGTCTTTTTAAATGCTGCTTTTATACTATTTATTCGTTCTTCAGTGGGCTTTGTGAAAAAAACGATCAATTCATCTTTTTCTCTAACACTCTTAACATTATTTACGAAGTTAACAATTTTGTGAGTATAGAACTGATTTACGTTAGAATTGGTAGTACCGGTAGCGATAGCTGTTTTGTCATTTACAGACAGTGGTACTGTCTGGAAAGGAATCCAACCTTTAATTTTCAACCTCTCCATCAAATGATGGTGATATGAGTCAAATGTACTAGCAGCCGTTCCAGAGTTATAGGTTTCCTGAACTTCTCTTTCAACAAAATTTCTCAATTGTTTGAAAATTGTTGTAACTTTTTCAAAATTACTGGCGCTGATTCCGAAGTCACTCTCAATCTTCCTGTCTACTACAGTGCCATCATTTTTTGAAACATTTGTAGTGGTTAAACCAACTTTCCATTTAGAATTACATTCTGTGTTTACATTATCGTTCCACCTAAAGAGCTTTAACTCATACTGTTTCGATAAATTTTCATTTATTACAGTTTCGTGGAAGACATGAGAAGTTTTAATTTCAAAACTACCTTTGACTGTAGAAGACGTCATTGTAGAACTTGCTTTTTTCTTGCTTTGATGCTGAATTGTAAATTCGAAGTTGTAGCTGAAGGCTTCGTTTGAAGTCTTTCGAAGTGACGATTCTTGAAGATGTCTGCGTCGATAGATCTTACGATCGAGTGTTGTTTCAAATCTAAAGCGCTTCTTTTATAGATAAATCAATAACCAATCAGATTTAAGATATTGTTAAAAGGACAAAGAAATGATTGATGTTTATTAAGTTTGATTGACATTTGTAAATTGATATTTTCAAACTTCAAATTTAAAAAAACTTGAAGTTTTTTAAAACTTCAAATTTTTTAATAGTAAAAAAATTTAGACTTAGAATTTTTTTTAAGTTGGGTCCAAAGTTTGATTTTTTTCTAATAATTTGATTGGTTGCTTTTTTTAATCTTAAGATATAAATTCGGAGATCTGACTGAGTAACGACAGATTGATCAGCCATGGCTGAGCACGATAACTTCCAAAAGTTCGTGGACATGCGGGATGGATTGGAGGCGATGTTTCGTGAAACCTACTCAGAGGAAGCAGATGTGGAAGATGTGCAAATGTTTATGCAAGCATGGAAGAAAAGATTGGAGGGTATGTTTGACCCGAAGCCTGAATCTTTTATGTCTAACGATGAAAAAACTTTATTTCGTTATTCACAGTTATGTTTAGAAATGGCGATTGTGAAAAACAGACCGATAGTTGAAGAGGTTCCAGACATTTACGAATCGTATACTATGGAATATTTTAAACGTCGGTATTGAAGTTATGTGTTTGACCTCGTTACCAAGCGAAAAATTGAGTTTGGGGGAAGAAGTTTTAGATATTGATGGTTCAGATGATGAAAAACGACGGCATATTCTCCTTGAATCGTTATACGATATACCGTTATTGGATAATTCTTCGAAAGAGTCTGAAAAAAAAATAATCTGCATTGCGAATAAAGATTATTTGTATGAGAATGGATTCTTTCCAACTACACGAAGCGTTACAGATAGCGAACTTTCAAAAGACATACCAAATTTTTTGTCAGTAGAAACTTGTACACAGTATTTAGTATTTTGGGCGAATACAAGAAGTTTACAGGAGAAAGTTAATGATGAAATAGATAGCTTTTTGGAAGCTAGAAAAAGTCTATTGGAGGAAAATTCGGATGAAAATTTATTGTTGAAGGACAAAATTTTTTTTAACATCTATCGTGCAAGCAATTTGTCGAAGTCTGACGCTATAGAGATTATCGAAAAAGAATTTTATACACTCGCCACAAGGAATCGTGATTTGAATGCGGATGAGCTTTTGGGGGAGTTATTTGATTATTGTAAAACGAATAATCTCTTTGAAGAACGTGAACTTATGAAGAGACAGTATGATATAAATATAAAAAAGATGTTTTTTCAATTTATTTTTGAAAATCAGAAGACAATTTCAGAAAAAATGAACAAACTTTGTTCGTCTTTCGATCTATTCGGTATGCAAGTTGAAGATTTGCTTTGCGAGGTTGGTAATGCTGTAAAGGATTATTTGCCTGTAGTATCTGCGTCAACAGAGGAACTGTGGAAGGAAAGTTCTATTCTTGAAAATGCATGCACCAGTATCGACGTTGAAAACGAACTTGGTGTTTCAGAAAAGACTGACGGGTTTTCAAGTCCTATTTCGTGTGATTTACGATACAAATTAGATCCATGTATCGATAGTACTTTTTATTCGTATAATTGGTACAAGGTTATCTCTGATCAGTATATGTTGTGGAAAAGAGGTCAGTTGTTAACTACAGATAAAGAAGAAAGGGCTAATAGAGTTCTTTTTTCTCTTTTTTTATTGGAAGATATAAAAAATACGGAACTTTTTTGCAAAGATATGCCTGACCCTCCTCTAAGGGACGATGATAACGATTCGATTGTTTCGACATTGAACGAATTGGAAGAAGAATTTAGTGAAAGTGTAGCTTTAAAAAATGACGAGAATTTCGATGTTCTTGATTGTTTTAAACACTTAACTATATGCGAAAATGAAAGATCTATGGAAGAAGAAGTGGCATTATTTACGCAAACTGAATTAAAAATAGCGAATAAAACAGCTGAAGTATTACAACATCATCTGTCACACGGTCATACTAGTTATTTTAATTCTGAAATGTCAAAAGAGATTTATGACGAATCGTCTATGCCTACGAGGATAGACCATAGATTTGATAAACAACTAAATCAAGAACAATGTTTTACACCAAAAAGAGAAGTAGTACGAGCACCTGTGCCTGGTGATAAAAATGCAGTCAAAATAAATGTTGATGAAAGTTTGTTTGGTAGAGATATGCGTGCAGCTTGTTTTGGACAAACGTTCGATCAACCTTGTAGTAGTAGAGAGCGTCGTACTGATTCTTTATGTCGTTATATGATGAAAGAGCGTTTTGATGACTCGATACCGAACGCTTTTGGTGAATGTATTATGAAAAGAAAAGTTATGGCGGAATGTGAAAAGGATATTTATGCTACAAAACGTATCGAATTGCGATTATCGTTGATGCCTTACGTAAGCTATTCAAATTTTGAAGGAGCTACACTTACCCAACCGGTTACTAATTTTTCGCAAGTTTTTGATCACATCCGTTTGAGTTTAACAGAATTAGATCCCTGTCGTGGTGGTAATTGCGACAATTATGAACAAGGAGGAAAAACGATTTTACAGGAAGCTTTGGAGGAGGCAGATAAGGATTTGTATTCTCGTTCTATTTTACCGTCCACGTTAATGAGGGATATGGATAAAAATTTTAAGAAAACTAAGTTTCGGTACAGATGTCGTGAACATCATCACATTGAGCTGGTGCCTTCTGAAAATGTACAAATGAGGATTGATGCGGTTGAAACGTGTCCGATTTGTTTTAAGGACATTTCGTCTGAAGAAGCTAAAGAAAAGATTTTTTTGTTGAATTGCGGACACGTTTTGTGTACATATTGTTTATATAAGATGATAAATACGTTACTGGAAGCGAATCCTGAATTATACTATTTCGAATACGAAAATGTTTTCAAATACGACATCGTAAGTGGATTTGTAAAGAATCCAGAAATAAAGTGTCCCATTTGTCGAGCGGTTTTGTATTTCACGGAGGAAGTGAACATTCGAATGTATCAATTCATATCGCTTTTGGGCAATACTGATGATAGAGAAAAGGATATTAAAATCGCTGTTTTGGAGAAGAAACTTGCTGACAAGGAGAAGGAGCTTAGAGAAGTTTCAAGTATTAGAGACAAAACAGACGACGCAAGAAAGAAGTGGCAAGGGTATGTGAAAGTTATTTTTGATGCATTTATGATCTACAAGAAAAATGTTGACAGTCTTGTTGTAAGTTTTAACACTTTGTCTTTATCGAATAATCGATTGATGGACTCTTTGATTGTCTCAGAAGAAAATAATAAAGTGTTGAAGACGTTATTACAGATGTACAAAGACGTTATTCACGATAGTTCTAAACACAAATTAACAGATCTTTTGGGTCGCAGTTATAAGTTGATAATGAGTATGGCGAACCGTTTAGCGACGTACAGTGATGTACAGTCGCAATTGAAAATCTGTCAGTCTGACTTAGTTGAATTGCAAGCTCGTATAAAAGACATTATGACCAATATGAATAGAGAAAGAAGCCAACACAGAGCTGAGAAACTCGAGGCTTTAGCACAAAAAGACATTTTATCGATAAAGTTGCTGAAACTATCAATTAAAAGAGACAAGGATAAGACAAAGATTACATATTTGCGAACAGCAAATAAACGCTTGAGGGACATCGTTCGTATGTTAACAAGGAGAAGAAAACTAACGAAGAAGAGTTATAAGAAAAAAAAGACTACTGATGTGTAATTTGACTTGTTTTTTTTTACGAACAAAAAAATTAGTTTAGTTAATTTTACTAATGTATCTATTCAGAAAATATATTTTTTAAATGAAATGAAAAAGTATGATAAAAAATTTTTTGTATAATTTGATCGTTTCTTATAAACCATTGATTTCTGTAGATAGCAGGGCAAGAACGTTTATCTTCTTTTGATTTGAAATAAAAGAAATTTTTTATAAAAAATGTATAGGCATCCACGGCTGGATCTCTAACTTTTAAAGATATATTATAAAGAAAATAAGTACTATATTCTCCACAAACGTTGGTGTTGTCGTCTTGAATTTGATGATCGAAATAGTTAATAGTTTGAGTGGTTTTAAATCTTTTTGCATCATCTCTAGCTTCTTTTAAGCTATTAACGGTCATATGTTTGATAGCTGTTCTAATATCAAAATCGAATAGTTCAAAATAATAATACAAAGTTCGAATAAGATGTTCAAATTCTGAAAATAATTTATTACATTTTCTTCCGTAAGAGTCGAAAAAATATGACATTCCCATCCTATCGAAATATAAAGCTTGCCAATGTAATCCTCCGTTCTGATGATTACCTGTATTTAGAATAAATCCGATTGGAAAACTTTTATCGTTATCTTTATTATCTTGTAGAAATGTTGTAATGACGAAGGTTTTTATTGACTGAAAATTGTGTAATATTTGTATACAATCATCTTCCGCGAGTCCTCCTCCATACTCTCTTTCAAGATCAGGTGTTGAAGAAAGACATTTTTCTATAGTTTTCAAATCCATTTTATAATTAAATGCAAGTTACAAGAAATGAAAAATTTACAAGAAAAAAGGTTATATTTATATTCATAAAATTTTTTTTTGTTAAAAAAAATATAAAAAAACAGTTAGTTGTAATCTTTGCCGATGCTTCCATCCATGCGTATTTCAATATTTCTGTATGAGAACAAATGTACCATAATATCTAGGTCTTTGTCAAATCTATTAGCGCCAGCCAATTTAACTTTTAAAACCAGGCATCCACCCCGTTTATATTCATACAAACAACCATCTGCTCCAACAGCACTGAGGTTTAGAGATTCGAAGTAGACGGTTGACCTTGTTGGATTGTCTTTGTAATATGATTCATCATTTGCTGTGATAAGATGTTTGGACATAAGTGGTCTTCTAAAATTTTTCCCTAATAACTGATCGTACCTTCGCCAAGCTTCGTGATTATCTTTGACAGGGTCGTAACTTTAATCTATTTACGAACTTTCGAACAGAACATTGTGTAGGAACCGCTTCTATTTGGAATCCCAAACGACCGTGATTTTTAAGCATGTGTTTGTTACACAACATCAAAGAACTAAACTCCAACGGACAATGTTCGCATTTAAAAGATTGTTTACAATGTCTTTCTTGATGAAGAAACAAATCCTTCTTTCGCAAAAAACCATAACCGCAAAAATTACAACAATTCTCCGAATGTTCCTTCGCTATATGGCTACGAAGTTTGTATTTTGATCTAAATTCACACTGACATAAATCGCATTGAAGTGGATTAGTATGAACTTGTGTCTTGTGCTTTCTTAAACTACCAATCTTACGAAAAACTTTACCGCAAATATCACAAACATGTTCCTCGTTGTTTTCGTGATAAATTGTTCGATGTAAAGTCAAAGAACGAACAGTCGGAAAAGATTCGTCACAATAACGACAATGAAAATTCCTCTCATGGTATAATCTCTTATGCTTCGTCAACGTATTCTGTGTTTTTAAAACACTAGAACATAAATCACAAGAAAAGTGCTTCTCTTTAACATGTATATCATAAGACTTATTATCAGGAAATTCTAACGAACATATTTTACAAAAAACCATATTCGTAAAAGTACCTTGTATGATGAACCAATCTCTTTATCTCTTATGAACCTTTGCTCTGGCCCAAGACGCTCTGACTGAATTGAAAAAAGCTCTCGCTTTTATAGCTAGATCGAAGTATTGTATGCTAATTTCAAACTATTTTTAAAAAAGAGACGTCATTATTACTGAACAAAAAAAATTTGAAGTTTTTTCATATTCAAAGCTAAAAAAAAATCTAAGTTATTCCTTATTTAAAAATTAAAATTTTTTCAAAAACCAAAATTTGAAGTTCCTTCGAATAACTTCAAATAAAAAACTTGAAGTTTTTTATAAATTTGAAGTTTTTTTCTCATTTGACTTTAAACAATAGACGCTTCTCAATAACCAATCATATGAATGACATTTTAAGATTTAAAATATTAGCCAATAGTAAAGCTCCACATTTAACATCGTTGCGTAATATGTCAATCATTTATAAAACCACTTAACCAACTCCCGAATTCACAAACTGTCACACCAACGATCGTAATTTTGAAAGAAGTCGAAAAAAATGACGAACGAAGCATCAAAAACGAACAATCAAGCATTCGAAGTAAAAAAAGCTATCGATTCAGCCTTTACGGACGACGAAGAAGATTTAATTCCGTTATCTTTATTGTCCAAAAGACTACTGACATCGTGAGTATATTTCTTTTCTTTTTACTCTTTTTTAAACTGTTCATTTAGTTTAATTAACTTACACATCTTTTAAAAACACTTTTCAAATTTTTTTTATTAAACTTCAATTTTTCATTTAGACGCTCAAATAAAAGAACATCAACGTCGGAAGACGAATCATCACCAAAAAGAAATGCGAAGGTTCTGTAACTGTAAATCATGCAGAAATATCAAAAGAGTTCAATCGACTAAAAGAGCTGCTAGAACCTTCATTCCCTTTAATGCCATCAATTCGACCACTCGTCGCTCCAGATATGGATACAGACACTGAAACAACGCTCACGGCAAACGAATCAGCAACAGAAGTAGAAAACTTCAACGAATCTACACCAAAACCAACCAAAGTTACTCCAACAGCCCGAAAATCCTTTCCCGCAGCACGAAGTCCACCTACTCCACTAGCGTTCGAGCCGCAAACGCCACCTATTTCAGAACCTGATACAGAACCTCAACAAGAAAGACCAACCCTGAACATCTTTAACTTCAATTTATCTGACGATGTTCCGACTGTGAGTAGAGATTTACCTAACTTCCCTTTTAACATTCGACAAAATGACCGTTTTTTTGAGACTTTACAGCAAATTGGCTTAGCTATTGATAATCTAAAAGATTTTTCATTATCTCCTTCTTCTGACGATCATCTTTTTGCTACCTTTTTACCACATTTGACTAATCGACTCGAACCTTTAATGCTGAAATTAACTGGACAGAAATTTGGTATATTTACCAACTTGAAACAACTTTCAATATACTTAATCGATCATTTTATTTTCGACATTCTGAACATTTGCAAATATCTTTTGACGGATCAACTAACAAAATACGAAAACAACGCTGCTCGACTAAAACACCTTAGATCTACTATTAATATTAACTACATTACCAACCCTAATAACCCAGATTTGATTGCCGAATACAAACGGAGAAGAGCTACACAAATTCAAAACGGCAGTTCAATAAGAGAAATGATGCACACAGTTAACAATGTCACTTCATTAAAAAGAAGTATCATATATGAAGACCCGTTGTTCGATTGTCACGATGCAATAAGAGTAACACTATTGTGCGCAATAGATGAAATCATGTCAAAAACTGCCATGACTGACGCTGAGAAAATCAAAGACATTTTTATTAATACAGTTATGTAAAACCAACTATATATGAACATTTTAACTAAGTAGATTAGTAACTACATTTTTTATTATTGAAGTAACTTTTCTTTATATAAACTTGAAGGCGTTGTAAGAATTGTGATCATTTTGTCTCTATCTTCAATATACTCAACATTTTTTTGCAACAAATCTAAAGCAGTAAAATTTTCGAAATTTCTCAAACTTTCATTCAAAAGTGAATCGCCATAAGAATGAAGTAAACTAACAACAGTTATACAATCATCGTATACTGCCAGATGCAAAACTGACTCTTTTCGATAATTTTGCTTGTTTAAATTGCAGCCACATTCAACCAAAAATTGAATTACTTTGCATTTTCTTTTACGAACAGCAATCATTATAGGAGTTTCGTGATTTATATTTTCTGCTTCAATATCGGCTCCATTTTTTATAAGATGTTTTAATAACCATCTATGTTCCATCCAAGTAGAAACATCCGTTTCTTCAATATTTGGAATCATTCGATGTAGAACAGTATTTCCATACTTATCGCGTTCATTTAAACATGTTGGATCATCTTTTACCATATATATAATTTTATCCAATTGTGAAAGTTTTTTATCAGAAACCAATTTTAACAATTCTGTCAACTCTCCCTTATGTTGAAGCTTTTCCTCAAAATACTGTATTGAGAACTCGTCTTCATCTTTCTTTTCAGAAAAACTCAAAAAAGAACCCATAATTTTAAACTTCAACTTTTTTTTATAAAACTTCAACTAACCTTCAATTTTTTAAAACTTCAAATTTATACTCAATTAATAAAAAATTGAAGTTATTTTAACTTAAATACCAGTCCAACAAAAATTAAATCAAAGTTGTGAAATATTATTTTTTAAATATATAACCATATCTTTAAGAATATATAAGTTATCTTTGTCGGCTTTAGAAACTTCAATTTCCTTTTGAGAACATTTCTTCTCCAAATCTTCTTTCATTTTTACTGCAAGTTGTAACGCTGTTAAATGTTGGTTGTTTTTCTTCAGAGGATCAACATTAGAACAAGAACTTTCAGAACGTCTCAAAAAATCGCACCAATTGCCAACAGCATAAAAACCATGCAAATGTAAAGAGATTACAGCTTTGTGCAAAACACTATTTCCGTCGTAATCGCAAATAGACAAATCCACCTCTTTGCGAAAAAGATAAGAAGTTAGCAATATTTGCCCCTTCTTTATGGCAATCATTACAGGAGTTTCTCCAACGTTATTTTGCACATTTAAATCCGCATTATTTCTTATAAAAATTTGAAAGAAATATTCCAAAGTTCCCCAATCTTCTTTGTCTTCGTCCCAATATTCACAAACTTTATGCAACAATGTATCTCCTTGTTCATCTCGCTGCATCAAAACTTCCACATTGTCGCGAACTCTCATATTTATGAACAAACGTAATCTCCAATCTAAAAAAGGAGAAATTCTTCTGTCAAAAAGTTCGAAGATATTTCTTTTACTCTTACAGTACCTTTGAAGACCTTCAGTCGGAAAATACAAATCAGGATACTCAAGTTTGTCGTTCGTCTTTTCAGCCATCTCAAGTTTGTTGTTCGTCTTTTCAGTCATCTCAAGAAAAACTAAAAAAAAACCTTACGGACGATCTTTTATACAATTTTGCCTCTGCGGAGCAGCCTACCACGTGGTCTTATACAAGACCCTACGCAGGAGCGCTAGGTTTAATATGCAACAGGTGGAACCCTAGTATACACTACTCTGGAGGAGCATCAGCTGATGTTAATAAAGATGTCGAGAAGAAGGCAGCTGATCTTGATATCTTAATGAGCAAAATAAAGGATAAATTACCCCATTCTGAATACAGTCTGAAAATTCAGATGCTCACACTAACACCTGAATCATGGAGCATCAAATTTGCCTCAGACTATTTTGGAGTTTCTGAATACTCAGTAAGAAAGGCTCTGGAATTGAAAGGCCAGAAAAGTATCCTTGCTTTGCCAGAACACAGAATAGGAAAAATACTGTCAGATGATATACACCAAAAGGTTAGGTCATTTTTTGAGGACGACAAATATTCTCGATTGTTACCTGGGAAAAAAGACTTTGTCAGCATTGGAAGGAATGTTCATGCACAGAAACGTCTATTGTTATGTAATTTAAAGGAACTATATGCAAGTTTCAAAGAATCCAACAGTCAAGTTGGGATTTTCGAAGTTCTGCTCTTTGCGACCAAAATGGTGTATCACTGTTGGCTCTAGTGGGGCTCATTCTGTCTGCGTATGCTCCATTCATCAAAATGCAATTCTTCTGGTGGATGCAGCAAACACTGAAAAAACATACAAGGAAATGATGGATATGGTTGTTTGTAGTCTTGACTGTAGGGAATGTATGGTGCATCGATGCAAAGATTGCCCAGGAACAACTGCTCTCAGCTTTTCTTGATGGGGCCTTCAGCGAGACTCAAAATGATATCTCTTTCAAGCAGTGGCAAAGCACTAATCGTACTGAATTGGTAACTCAAACTCTCTCTGTTGATGAGTTTATAGATCTTCTTGTGAAAAATATTGACAACCTCACTACACATTCCTACATCGCAAAATGCCAGGCAAGATACTTGAAGAGTAGGAAAGAGAATCTGCCAGATAACTCTATGCTTGTGCTAGGAGATTTTGCTGAAAACTATACGTTTGTGGTTCAGGACGAAATCCAGTCGTATCATTGGAGTAAAAATTATTGCACTCTTTACCCAGTCGTTGTTTACTTTAAGCAAGGTGAAAGACTTGAACACAAATCATATTGTTTTATATCTGATGACCTAGAACATGATACTAACTTTGTCTACGAACTTCAGAGAGAGCTCATTGATTTAATAAAGTTTAAATATCCCCATATAGAGATAATTGAGTATTTTTTGGATGGCTGCGCTGGCCAATATAAAAACTTTAAAAACATGTTGAACCTGTGTCTTCACAAGACAGATTTTGGCTTAGAAGCAAATTGGACATTTTTTGCTACTAGTCATGGGAAATCTCCCTGTGATGGCATTGGAGGGACTGTTAAAGGTTTGACTGCCCGTGCCAGCTTGCAACGCCAACATTCCTCGCAGATATTGACAGTAGCATCAATGTTAGAATTCTGCCAAGAAAACATTAAAGATATAAAGTTTTGTTTTCTTTCTAAAAAGAAATTACAGGCAGTTAGAGAGGAACTGAAAAATAGATTCTCTAAAAAGCCAACCATTCCAGGAACAAGGTCCTTTCATTTTTTCACACCATATAGTGACCACGAAATTTGCTTCAAGCGAACTTCAGAGGATGCAGAATTTTCTGGCAAATTTTCTATAACTGGTAAAACAATGTCTCAGGAGAAGATTAGGTATATGTTGCTGAAGTGCTGATTTATGTTGGGTTTCTTTTGAAAATATCATTTGTAATGTATCTACTGAAGAAGCATATTGCGAAACGTTAATCAAGTTGTTTTTTTACTGATCATCTATTTAAATTTTTAAAAAACATTACAGTCTAGAGCTTTTGAATACATATATATATATATATATATATATACATATAAATAATATATATATATATATATAATATATATCATAGATTGAAGAAAGTAAAACTACATGGTTTATCTCTACAAGCCTCTTTCGTGAGTAACTCACTCTTCAGGAGATGTTGACATACTAGAATATTCCTCGCATAAATAGATAATACAGTACAGAAGGTGTTACATAATGTGTGAGGTTATACAAAAGGTGAATTAGGGGCGGTACATAAAGGGATTTAGGTGTTACGTAATAGTGTTTTGTTTCTATGGCGGCAAGAAGATACGAGTTTGTTTCGTTTGTTGAGTGTTGATAATTCAGGGTGGCAGATAATGAGGGTCTTTTCTTTAAGGCAAAGGCTGCATCTTTTGTTTGAGCTGCTGTAGGATTGCTTTATTGAGAGGATGCGCCAGGAAATGGAGTGGTCGATG